GCAAAAGGTCCCGGGTTCAATCCCCGGTCCGTCCATCCCTTTACCCCCAATACATGGGCGGATAGTGTAGTGGCTATCACGTTTGCTTTGCATCATAGTTATCTCCTCTAAAAGAGAGACTCGCCAGCAAAAGGTCCCGGGTTCAATCCCCGGTCCGTCCATTCTTTTTGTACTTTTTGTACATCACAACGGGTCCAATTTTTCCATAGTTTTCACGCCGCACTCACTTTTGACGGGGTGGGTATTCTGGGCTGGCCGGTTATGAAGGAGCACGCGAGCCACGCATCCACCAACTTCATCCTATCCCAAGTTTTGAATGCGACTCGTAGGTCGAAGTGTTGCGCGCAAACACGTGCATCGCACAGTTGTGCCTGTCACACACTTGCGCGGTTGCACGACTTCTGCTGATCACGTCAAGAGCCCCATGGCTTGGTATTGACGCCAGCCCTTGTCGTGCAAGAGCGTATAGTTCGCACGATGGCGACGGTCGATGCAGACTGTTCGCACCCAGTGCAGGTCGCTGGGCTCTGTGCAGTATGTGGTCGCGAATTGGACAGGTGAGTCTTCTTATGCTAGCGGCAGGAGCGAGTGCACGCGTTTGGAAGGTCGGCTGCTGATGGGGAAACGCTTGCCGATAGCGCCGTTCTGCTGGGCGTTTCGATTGCCATATCCCACGCCTCGGCGGGCATCAAGGTCTCCGCATCCGAAGCCAAGCGCTTAGATGCGGAGTCCACTGCGCAACTGCTGCGTCAGCGGCGTCTTGCGCTGATCATCGACCTCGACCAAACGATCATCCACGCCACCGTCGACCCGACTGTTGGTGAATGGCTCAAAGACCCACAGAATCCCAACTATGCAGCGCTTAGTAATGTCGGGCGCTTCAAACTGGGCATGGACGGAAAGACGGTCCTCGGCTTTGAGACGCACGACCAAGTGGGCGACCGCGCTGCCAGCGAAGCGCCAGATGAAGCAGTCGCCGGGTGCTGGTACTACGTCAAACCGCGGCCGGGCCTCGCAGACTTTCTCCGTGGCCTGGCGCGAAAGTACGAGCTGCATGTCTACACGATGGGCACGCGCTCCTACGCCGACTGCGTGTGCAGGCTCGTCGACCCGGATGGCACGCTGTTCGGTAGTCGGATCCTCTCGCGCGACGAGAACGGCAGCTTGCTGCAAAAGAGCCTCAGCAGACTCTTCCCGGTGGACACAAGCATGGTTGTCATCATCGATGACAGGGCCGACGTGTGGAGCCGGTCTCCCAACCTGATCAAAGTCAACCCATGTGAGTACAGCGGCGGAGCCCGCGATCGCACGCTGCTGTGCTCCTGCTTAAACCCCTCCCCCCTGGCCGCGTCCCAGACGACTTTTTCGTCGGCATCGGCGACATCAATGCGACATTCCTACCAGCCGCGCCACCACCGCCGCTGCCATCGCCGACGCTTCTCACGGACGGCGAGACGGATATCACTGCAGAAGCTTCGCCAGACATGAGCAGCACAATCCCCGAGGAAGCAGGAGCACCGACTCCGCCAGCGGATGCTCCCGAGTCGCCGGCCCTTGCCGCGGCCAGCTCCACTCCACTAATGATGGGCCTGGAAGGAGCAGACGCGATTACCATGGAAACATCAGAGGCTGGCGCAGCGGCTGCGGCCGCCGAAGAAAAGGCGGAAAAGGATCAGCGGGCAGTGCTCACCGAGCAGATTGACTCTCGGCCACTGGCAAAGATGCAAGAAGCGCTGGAGGAAAAGCTCAGCCACTGCCACCCGTCTTCCTCTGACAGTGCAGGCCCGTGTGCGAAAGTCTCAGAAGCACCGCATCAAGACAACGCTCCAGGTGCAGACGCTGACGAGGCCGCGCCCTCCAGCCTCGTGGAACCTGGTCCGCTCCAACGCCTCCACGCGGTGCTCAAGGATGACGACGCAGAACTGGCACGGGTGCAAGAGGTAAGCTGGGTGCTCACGGCTCCGCGATTGCTCGCACGCGCTGATCGGCCGGCCACTGCAGATCCTCGACGCCATTCACGAACGGTGGTATGCGCAGTGGGACGGTATGCACGGCGCCAGCATGCCGCTGACAGAGTCCCCCGACGACCTCAATGCACTTGCTGCGCGCCCAAAGCCAGCTGTCATGGTGAGTGTGCGATGCGCCACTTTGGTCATCCGCCGCGGCGCTGACGTCCCATCATCCCCACCAGAACATCATCGGAGACATCAAGCGCCTCGTTCTGGCCGGGTGCAACATTGTCTTTTCAGGGGTGATACCGCTCGGGGAAAAGCCGCAAGAGCGAGTAAGGGTACACTCCAGTTACACTTTTGCAGACGCTGACGGCGCTTTCTGTTACAGAGCGGACATTTGGAGAGTCGCCGAGGAGTTTGGCGCGCGCTGCTCCCTGGGCGTCAATGCGACAGTGACGCACTTGATCGCAGCCAAGGTGAGCTGCATGCTTCCTGCTGCTGCCTGCAACGCTCGTTTCTCCGTTGACATTCCATGCTTGCAGGCCGGCACCGAAAAAGTCCGGCAAGCGACGCGGATAGCCACCATCCACGTCTTGCATCCGTCGTGGTTCCACACTTCTGTTGCCCACTGGGCGCGAGAAGAGGAAGAGTGGTATATCTTGCCAAAGGACGCGAGCAGCGACTCGCCTTCCGCGGCGTTATTTCTAGGCTTTGGCGACGACAGCAGCGATTGCGAGTCCGATGCTGATCAGCAGCGTGATCCGGCTGGGGAACAGGCAGACGCATTGCCCGCAGAAGTGTCCTTGTCCGGAATCGATTGGGGAGAAGCAGCCGACGAGGTCGATGCCTACCTCGACGACAGCGATGACGATGCGGACGCCGAAACCGAGACCAGCTTTTCTTTGGACACCAGGAGCTGCCCGCAGACGCCCGAGCGCGGCAGCAAGCGGCCACGGACCAGCCAAGGCGGCACGCCCACAAAAGATGCAAGGCACGATGAGGACGTCGAGAGATCGCCGCTGAGCAAACGCCGCAAGCTCGCGGAGGCTCGCGCGGGCAAGTCGATGCTTAAGCACAGCATCGGTGATGCGCCTGAGCCTCTGGATGGCCGGGCCGCCGAGGAGGGGGACGTCGACGACAATGCCACAGAAGGCACCGTGGGTGGCTGCAGTCAGAATGGCACAGATCTGGACGCTTTTGCGGACGACCTCGAGCTCGAGCTCGAGGCGGACTGACATTCCTAGAGCCAAGAGCTGATGGACAGAAGCTTCCTTCGGGACATTTGCTTGGCAAGACACTGTAGCAGTACAACATGTAGCAATACACTTGGAATACCCAACATTGTAAGACGAACTATGCGCGCCACTGCAGTGAACATCGAATCAGTCGAGCATCCGTCGCCTCGGATCGGTCGACACTCACAGAGATCAACGGTACATCGGTTCGGAAGCGCTGCGTGGTTGTGCTCTTCGCCAGTTCGGTCACTTGGCCCATCCGATGTGCCAGCAGGCCCGCATGCGCGATCATGATGCCATTGTCGATGCAGAAGCGTTCATCTGTGGCAAAGACCTTGCCGCCGCGTTCGTACGCCATGATGCCCATCATCTCTTGAAGCCGAGCATTCGAGCCGACACCGCCGACTATCAGCACTTCGCGTGAGCCAATATGCGCCATAGCGCGCTCTGTGATTTCGACGAGCATCGCAAAGACGGTCTCCTGTAGTGAGAAGCAGAGGTCTGCTGGCGTGATCACATCTGCCTGCAAGTCGGCGAAAGGAGAAGCAGCAGCAGGCATAGGTGATGAGTGCCCGCCAACGTGCCTGCCGTCAGCGCTGAGCGTCGGGCCATTTGCCAAGCTCCCCACTGCGGCTGCGCTGTCAGCAGCTTGTGAACGAGCGCTGTTTGCGCGGAATCGCTTGTCATGCGTGTACTGCTCTACGCATGTCAGGATGCCGCCCAGTGCGACATCCATCCCCTTTGTCGCGTACGGCAGCGGAAGAAGTTTACGCCCCTTCCTCGCTTCGATCTCGATGTTTTGACCGGGGCTGGGATCATTGCTCAGACCGATGACGCGGGCGAAGCGGTCCAAGCAGTTACCGACAGCAATGTCCAGCGTCTCACCAAAGATGCGATATCGCTGAGCGGAGTAGGCGATCACTTGTGTGTTTCCGCCGGATACATAGAGCACGACGGGATTGCGCGCGCCTGTGATCGTCCTTCCCATCTCGATGTGGCCGACACAGTGATTGACGCCGACGAGGGGTTTCTTGTAGAGCAGGGACAAGGTGCGGGCGATGAGCGACACTGATTGCAGAGGCGCTCCCATGCCAGGTCCTACAGTGGACAGCATTTTCAACAAAACGAGAGAAAGACATTCCAGTCACTGGAAAAAGGAAGGTAGACCAGGCTCGACTTACCTTTGGTAAAGCAGATGCACTCGACATCTTCGAGGCCCTTTTTAAGGTCAGCGCGCTTGACGCTTTCCTGCACGACTTGCAGAATCCACTGCTTGTGATGCTTTGCTGTATCACCGGGCTGGAAGCCCTGCCCCGGAGGTGTCACATATGTATGCCGGATATTTGAGAGGACATCGACGCTGCCGTCTGGATTGTGACGAACGATCCCGGACCCAAGCTTGTTGGCGCTGCCTTCCAAGCCCAACGCGAGGTACGGTCGTGACAGCGGCGGCAACGGGTCTGTGGCTGCCAGCCGCTGGCGCTTGCTTGCAGACGGCATCTTGAATCGAATGCAGCAGGATCTCTCTACTTGCAAGAAGGCTGTCCGTGTGGCTGCTCTGGGGCTGATCACACGCAACCTCTTCGGCTCATGGCATCCCTAATGGGTGAATGAGAAAGGAGAGGCCGTAAGAGGGCAATTTCGGTAGTTGATGCGCCCAGGGAGACAAATGAGTTAGTTGCCGACAAAAGTCGCCGATACGCCACTGCGCCAGTGTGGTGTTGTCTGGCGTGTGCGAGAGATGGCGAGCCTTCGAGAAGAACACTGACCCTCCTCGACTTCCAGGTTGCGACAATTTTTGGGAGAGCTTCTCCTGTGTACACCTCACACGGAAGCTCGTCTGGATAGCTGCTGTCGAATGCAAGGTATACCCAAGCACAGCTGGCATATACTGACAAGACTGCAAGGCGCAGAAACCCTGGAACTTTGCTTCTGGTAAAGCGCGATACAGCGATAACATTCGGGCAAGATGGCGGGTCGCCTGGGAATGATGCAGCCGCCGGTGATTGTCCTTCGCGAGGGTACTGACACCTCGCAAGGCACGCCGCAGCTGCTGTCGAACATTGGAGCCTGCACATCGGTCGTCTCGTGCATTGCCTCCACGCTCGGGCCACGCGGGATGGACAAGCTGATTGTTAACGAGCGCGGAGAAGCGACAATCAGCAACGACGGCGCGACCATCCTCAAGCTGCTGGAGATCGTGCACCCGGCTGCGCGGACGCTGGTGGATATTGCGCGAGCGCAGGACGCAGAAGTGGGAGACGGAACAACCAGTGTCGTGTTGCTTGCGGGAGAGATGCTCAAGGAGAGCAAGCAGTTCATCGAAGAGGGTGTCAGCCCGCACGTCATCATCAAGGGCTACAGGAAGGCGGCAACGATGGTGCGTCTGCTGCGAAGCTTGCTACTCCACCGTCTCGTTCCACGAACGCACTAACGAATGAGTCTTCTCCTCATCAGGCTATTGATAGGATCCGGGAAATCTCAGTATCCATCGACAAGTCAGACAAGGAGTACGTCGATCTAAAAGCGCTCTACTATGTCCTTTGCATTGACACATTGCTCTTTCTCGCGCAGAGCCTTCCGGGATCTTCTTCTGAAGTGCGCCGGCACATCCATGTCCTCCAAATTGATCGTCTCACAACGTCCCTTTTTCGCACGAATGGTCGTGGACGCAGTCACTACTCTCGACCAGGAAGACTTGGACGAATCTCTCATTGGCGTGAAAAAGGTGCCTGGCGGCGCGATGCAAGACTCGCTGCTCATCAAAGGTGTCGCATTCAAAAAGACATTTGCGTACGCTGGCTTTGAGCAACAGCCAAAGAGCTTCACGGACCCTAAGATCCTCTGCCTGAACGTTGAACTGGAGCTCAAGGCGGAAAAGGACAACGCCGAGGTGCGCATCAATGAAGTGTCCGAGTACCAAGCAATTGTCGACGCCGAGTGGCAGATCATCTATGCCAAGCTCGAAGCGATCGTCAAGACCGGCGCTAAGGTGGTCCTCTCCAAGCTTCCCATCGGTGATTTGGCTACACAATACTTTGCCGACCGCAACATCTTCTGTGCCGGTCGTGTCCCCGCCGATGACCTCAAGCGCGTCATTCAAGCTGTCGGTGGAAACATTCAGTCGACGTGCTCGGACATTCAGCCACACCACCTGGGCACTTCCGCCAAATTTGAGGAGAAGCAGATTGGCGGAGAGCGGTTCAACCTGTTCGAGGGGTGTCCCAAGGCCAAGACGTGCACGCTGATCCTGCGTGGCGGCGCAGAGCAGTTCATCGCCGAGGTCGAGCGCAGTCTGCATGATGCGATCATGATCGTCAAGCGCGCCATCAAGAACAGCAGCGTCGTCGCGGGCGGTGGTGCAATCGAGATGGAGCTTTCAAAGTACCTGCGCGAGCACGCGCGGACGATCCAGGGCAAGCAGCAGCTGATCATCGCCGCGTTTGCCAAGTCGCTCGAGTGCATCCCGCGACAGCTGTCTGATAACGCAGGCTTCGACGCGACCGACCTGCTCAACCGCCTCCGCATGCGGCATGCGCAGGGACACATGTGGGACGGCATCGACATCGACAGCGAGGGCGTCGCGGACAACCTCGAGCGCTTCGTGTGGGAGCCGAGCCTTGTAAAGATCAACGCCATCTCCAGTGCGGCGGAGGCAAGCTGCTTGATCCTCAGCGTCGATGAGACCATTAGAAACGAGGCATCAGAGAAGGTGCGTGGCCTTCAGCGTCTGATTTCATCTGAGACTGATACTGACCATCGCCTGTCGCGTCTTCGTTGTCCTCTCTGCAGCCGAATCCAGGGCCGAAAGCACCGCCAGGCACGGCACAGAGAGCCCTGCGCGGGCGCGGTCGAGCCATGCGAAGGTGATCAAATATCGAGTGTTTAGGCCAGGCCTATGAGGATGTACTGTGCGGATGTAGTGGAGACGATTGCACACATACTCTTTGCACAAGCAAGCAAAATTGTGAAAGCCATGTCACTTTGCCGTTCATCCCCGCCTCGACTGAGAGCTTCTGTACAAGTGTGGCGTGGTAAATGTAGCAACGCTGCGCATGTTCCTGCAAAGAAAGTACACAAAAATGTGCCGCCCCGAAGGTAGCGTGGCATGCAGCGGCACTGCGCTACGATTGCCCGATCTCCTCGACAAGCTTTCTTCGTTGCGGCGACCGCTGCGCGAACATGTGCTCCCACGCCTCTGCATATACGCCTTTGCCGGCTTCTTCGATGGGCAGGCTGAGCGTTGCTCCCTCGCCATTGGAAATGTAACGCAAGAATGGCGTCGGCTGCTCCTTGATCTCCTTGCGCGATAGCTTTAATAGACCGGCAACCCCGCCCGCTGCCGGGCCTGCTCCCGCTGAGGTCGGCGTCCCGTCGCCACCCTCGTCGCCAGAGCCTTCGCCGCCGGCAAGCTTGTTGCGCGAGCGCGACACCTGCTTCTTGAGCAGCCGGTTGATCGTCTCTGTCTTCTCCTCTTCGAGCTTCTGGTCGCTCTGGTTCTTGCGCCGACGCGACATCTCGGACCGCTTCAACGCAATCTCGCTCTCGGAGAGTCCCTTGAATTTCGACTTGGACGCTCCAGCCGGTAACTCTTCTAGCCCGAACGACGAGCCTTCCGCTCGTGAAGACTTGGCAAGCTGCCGAGCCGTCTTTGGGAGCGAAGCGCTCAAATCCACATTTACGAAATCCTCGTCCTCCGAGCCGTCGAGTTCGTCGCGCCGCCTTCGTTTGTTCGATTTCGACTTGCTGCTGCTCGGCTTGAATTTGGGCTTGCTTGTGCTCGGCGATACTTTGAGCTTAATCCTGAGGGATTTCGAGCCGTTGCCGCCTGTAAGGGCGCTGGGAGCGCCGCGCCCCTCTTCTTCCATGTCTTCATCTTCTTCGTCCTCTGGTTCGCCGTCATCCGAAGCAAGCTCATCTGCTTCGACGTCGTCTTCTTCGTCTTCCTCCTCTTCGTCTTCCTCCTCTTCGTCTTCCTCGTCGTCCCCTGCCTCTTCGCTCAGCTCTGATAATGACCCGTCATCGTCGTCATCTCCCCTTCTGGAACTGCGAACAGACTTAATCGGCGAGCTGTTTGGCGCCGCCTTTACTGCTGCTGGTGTCGGTGTTTGGATTCTTGATGATGTTGCGGTGCCAATGTCTAAACCGTCTTGTGTGCCATCTTCGTCATCCACTTCCTCTTCTTCCTCGTCGTCGTACTCTTCTTCTGGCTCGCCTTCGTCTTCCCTTACATCTCCATCATCTGGATTGCCAACGGAGGCTTGCTCCGCCTCGATATCTTCCTCATCTTCATCCTCAGAACGAAACTCGTCGTCTTCCATGTCGACATCAGACGGTACCTCTCTACGATGCGCAGAAACACTTCGGTAGTCAGCTATGAGGTTTCTTCATTGATATACTTCCTTCAGTCGTTGCTTATACTCACTCATAATTCGCCGTCTCCCGAAGTCTCGATGGGCGCGCCGCTCGGCTGCTGCCGGCGGCAGCTGCGCCGCTCGACTCGCTGGCTCTCCGTGTATTCATGGTGTCCCTTGACGATCGACTGCGGGGCGAGTCTATCTGGAGCGTTACTCCCTGAGATTCTTACGTCTTACCACGATACGTAAATGCAGCTCTGGCGAGATCTATAGACGAATACACGAGACGCGATCAACCCGAGCGTGCCACACGGTGTTGCGAGTTAGAGCGGAATTGAAACCGTCCCCTTCAGTTTTGGCGCATCAACCGCATCCGCTGCTCTCGAGAAACGCTGGTGGAAATGGGGCTTAATTCATTCCTTGGACGCAGGACCACGCATTGCATACAGGTACCGGCCGCAGCATGGTCAGATCCTCAGAGATTTCCGGTGCGTGGGTCTCTCCAGTTTATTACGTCCTTGATCATCACCTGCCATGTCTTCGAATTATCATTTGTGACGGCGAACGGTGTCTCGATGAACCTCTCGCCTGACCCCTCCCTGTTGGCTATAAGTATATGTGAGGCTGGCAACATCGGAAGTTGCGACGAGTGAAGGGAAAGCAAAAGAAGCCAGGCAAGAGGCAGACTAGGCAAGACATGTATCATACTGTAAGAGTACAGGACACTTGCAGGTGCGGCCCACATGCCCCCGATGGTGACAGTTGGACTGATGGTGCAGCTTTTGGTGACTTGAACAGAGCAGGAAATCTACTCCTCGTCCTGGTCAGGCGAGACGTTGAAGAACTTGATCTCGAATCCCTGCTTGCTGGTGGCGACAACACGGAGCCAATCGCGGAGCTGGTTACGCTTCAAGTGCTTCTTAGTAAGGTACTTGAGGTAACGCTTGCTGAAGGGGATGGTCGTGTTGACCCAGATCTTGCCCTCTCCCTCGCGGGTAATGGTGACGACGTCGCCGAGCTGCCCAGCCTTGCCATCGACCTTGATGCGGTCGTGGAGGAACTTCTCGAAGGCGGCAGCGTCGAGAATGCCATCGTTGGCAGGGCCGGAGAAGTCAATGAAGTACTTCTCGCCCTTGGGGGCCACCTTCGAAGTCTTAGCGGGAGCCTACCCGATTAAAATAATTTCATGTCAGCAATGGGGTCGAGTTGAAGTGCAAGCGCGCAGGGGCAAAGCGCTGGGAAGGACAAGGGCCTGGAATTCGTACGCTGGCCGCCGCACTATTCGAAGCTGCTTCTATCACGACAATTCTGCTTGCCGTCCAGAAAAAGACGTGGATGATGCATTGGACTCGTATCCCCTCCAAGAACATGAGCGAGGATGACATGGCCTCGTCCGTTCACACATCCCTGGTTTCCGGCGAGTCACAAGCACAGCCTGTCGCGGTCTAACGAAGCGTGCCCCTTCTTTTGGCTACCCACCATTTTTATGTTTTTGAAGCGTCGTTAAATGGACGGGACAAGGAATGTGCCTACTCTGACGGTCGGAACGGAAATAAGTCAAAAGCGAAGCCCACAGGGCGACAGAGCGAAGAATGGCATAGGTCAGTAAATGGACATGGATTCTCCTCCTCTCAATGGCCATCCGCCTACTGTGTTTATCACTCACGATAAGTCCAGCAAAGCGTTATTGAGGCAGCGGTGTGCGTGAGGGAAACGAGACGGGCAGGATGGAAGACCAGAACGCGAAAGAAAAAGTTGCTTGGTGTGGTTGACGCCGCAGTAGAGAGGAACAGCAGATGTTCTCTCGCGGCCGAAAGAATTTGGGGGGTGCCTCCACATAAGTTCTTTTCGAGTTCTTTCTTTTGCATAAAACTCGCAGTCAAGAAAAAGAAAGAAAAGATCGCCTGTGTGCGAGACAGACTTCCGTCCTCGCGAAGACTGCAAAACTGGAAATGCTACGATTGTCCTTCGGCAGGGGAAAGCCTGGATATCGCCGCGTGTAGCACAACTTCTGTTGGAAGCGGTCGTCAACGGACATCAGCATCCTCGCATTGCTCGAATACTGCTAGCCATAGCGCTGGAAGAAAGACATTCGTAAGCGCAAGGCCAAGGCGTTGGGGCTTCTCTTCATTTTCTAGGCTTGCTGCGTTCATTGCAATCTTTAGTCGGCCAGCTGCAGGACATCCTCGCAAGGACGCAGAGATGGCTGCTCCAAACGGTATCATCGACCCCATGCAGCTAGATGGCGACTACGCCATCAAACCGGAAAACTCAGGACCCAAGCTCAACACTTCTGAGTGGCCCCTGTTGCTCAAGAACTATGTGCGTGATGTTCGCGGCAGATATTCATGATGGCGTGGACTGACCTGTTCCAATTTTTTATTCGCATTGTAGGACAAACTCTTGATCCGGTCATCGCATTTCACACCGATTCCGCACGGATGCTCTCCGCTCAAGCGCGACCTCAAGTCGTACGTCTCCTCTGGCGTGATCAACCTCGATAAGCCATCGAATCCGTCGTCGCACGAGGTTGTCGCCTGGATCCGACGCATCTTGCGCGTCGAAAAGACCGGTCACTCGGGCACTCTCGACCCTAAAGTAACCGGCTGCTTGATCGTCTGCATCGACAGAGCTACGCGTCTTGTCAAGTCGCAACAAGGGGCGGGTAAGGAGTACGTTGCTGTCCTCCGGCTGCACGACAAGCTTGAAGATGCAAAGAAGCTCCCGCGTGTCCTGGACACCCTCACGGGCGCACTCTTCCAACGACCACCGCTCATCTCGGCCGTCAAGAGGCAGTTGCGTATCCGCACGATTCACGAAAGCAAGCTGCTCGAATTTGACAATGACAGGCACCTCGCAGTCTTCTGGGTCAGCTGTGAGGCAGGAACCTACATCCGAACGCTCTGCGTACACCTCGGCTTGCTGCTTGGCGTCGGCGGGCACATGCAGGAGCTGAGACGAGTCAGGAGTGGAGCTCTCGGGGAGAACGATGGCATCGTCACCATGCACGATGTCCTCGATGCACAGTGGCTGTACGACAACCAACGGGACGAGACTTACCTCCGCCGCGTTATTCGCCCTCTCGAGTCTCTACTTGTCGGCTACAAGCGCATTGTCGTCAAAGACTCTGCAGTCAACGCTGTCTGCTACGGCGCCAAGCTGATGATCCCCGGTCTGTTGCGCTACGAGGCTGACATCGAAGTGAACGAGGAGGTCGTGCTCATGACGACGAAGGGCGAGGCTATTGCCCTGGGCATCGCGCAGATGAGCACAGTCGACCTGAGCACGTGCGACCACGGTGTTGTTGCCAAAGTAAAGAGGTGCATCATGGAGCGCGACACGTATCCGAAGCGATGGGGTCTAGGCCCCAAGGCGGTCGAGAAGAAGAAGATGGTCAAGGACGGCAAGCTCGACAAGCACGGACGCGCTATCGAAGGCGTCACGCCAGCTACCTGGACAAAGGGTTACGTGGACTACGGCGCTGCCGCTACCGAGGCCGCTGGCGCTTCCACTGGCGCCACCGAGGCTGCCCCGGAAGCCGCCGCAGTATCACCAGAAGCAGCAACTAGCTCGTCCAAGAAGCGCAAAGCGGATGAAGCTGACAATGGCGAGGCGGATGGCGAGACAGAGGAGGAGCGCAAGAAGCGGAAAAAGGAGAAAAAGGCAGCCAAGGAAGCCGCCAAGGCCGCTGCCGATGTCAGCGTTGGCGACGTGAGCACCAAATCTGATAAGAAGGACAAGAAAAAGAAGAAGAAGGACAAGAGTGGAGATGACGATGACGAGTGATATGCCCATTCATTTGAATCACACCGCAAATCCCTCTCTCCAGTCGATTTCCTTTCACTACCTTTCACACCGCACACGTGATCCGGAGTGTGTGTATTGTACTATAGCTCGAGTTCCTTCTGCTCTACACATATACGAGGCTGGAATTTCTGAAGCAGCGGGGCCGCCATGGTACTCAGCAAGACAAACCAGTTGGGATATGCAGAAAAGGTTACACGTAGATGCATAAGGGAGAATGCATTGCCGCTAGGGCGAACGAAGAGGAGTACAGCCTCCCCACATGCGTCCCAGCTCAGCAGGACAGGATTCTACCAAAATGTCTTCCACTATCTGCGTATGCTGCTGTTCTTCGCTTGTCGGCGCATGCGCTAGAGCTTTTGCCACTGTGGAAGGATTTCTGCCGGTCCTGGCCCGCTGTAGACCTGTGCTACCGCCGCTATTGCTCTCGGAAACCGTGCGTGCAAACGGGTTCTTGCTGGGTAGTGACTGTGGCCTCTCTGCGCGTTTCTTGTCTTTGTCACCAACGTCCGAAAGGTCGTGCGATTCGAAGAACATCCATCTGCCCAGAGTGTTGCTGCTCGAGGCGGATTTCTCTGCAAGCGACTTGCGCTTGCGCGGTATAATCACTTCCATGGGTTCTTCATCGTCGTCTCCCTCCCCGTCACCTTGCTCTTCCTCTTCTGCAGTATCGCTTATGTCCTGGGCAGTGTCTTTGACACACTCTTTGATGTCAGCCTCGGCCTCCTCACTAGCGCTAACTGTGAGATCTTGCTGCACTGGTTGTTCGACGGATGCCTTGCTTGCAGCCATCATATGCGGGGGCGGGACGCTCGCCTGCCTCACTTGCGGGTGCTGGTGCGGAGGCTGGCGGTCGTCATGCAGCACCGAGCTTTGCCGAGGCAGCCGTACACCTGTCCAGCCATCCGCAGAGCTAGGTGTGGCAGACCTGCGCGGAATGAGCGACTGCGTCCGTTCGAGCACTCTCGGACGAGCACCAAAGACTTTTGTTGAGGTTTGCTTTGCAGCAGCGTCCGAGGCAGCGAGGCCGGTGGAAGAGGACTCCTCGTTGTTTTGCCTCCCGCCCGCGGTGCTGCCGCTGTTGGGACCGACAGAGTGCAGCACATCCGAGGTGAGCACGGCACTGGCGCTGCGCCTGAACCTTCTGACCATGTCAACCTCGCGCGTGACTTTGGCCTTCTCCTTTCCTCCTTTGCCACCTTCAGCAGCAGCGGTAGCACTTGTGGCGCCAGCACCGGGTCCAACGGACGAGTCGCGCCGCAGACGCTTGCTGTTGCGGGCTTGACTGTCCAACTCGCGGCGCAGGGCTTCGGTGTCGAATGCCTCCTTCGCGTGCGCTGCCTTTTCGCGCTGCTTGCGCTTCTCGTCTCGAAGGGCCAGGTTGAGGTCCAGCTTTTCGGCCGAGCTCGGCGCGATGCCCGGCCCTGCTCCTGCAGCCGACGCGGAGCCCGAATCCATTCCTGCAGAAGGGGAGGCGAGCAGGGTGCCGGACTTACTGCGTTTTGACCCACCCACAGTGGCCCCAGATGCGGACACACCAGGCCACGACGGCGTGCCTTTGAATCCGGTTCCAGCATTGCCAGCAGTGACAAAGCACTTGCTACGCAGCGCGGCGTATTGGCGCGGCAGGGCAGTGGAGAAGAAAGGCTTAACGATCGACGAACAAAAGTATTGCACTTCATCCCGTTCGTCGCGCGCATCTTTAGGGCGTGCGGCCGAGCCGAAGAGGACGTTCGTGGCAGCGCTTGCTCCAATGGCAGTTCCGGGTGTGCCGCCAGCTTCCGCTTTCGCTTTTGATTCCCCTTCGGCGGTGGGCATGAGATCACCCAGGCCTGTGACAAGCGTGAGCAAGCACAACTTGTCTGTCAGCATCTCGAACCTGGTCGAGAGGGCATCAACGTCGAAGGAGATCTGCTCATCTCCGATGCCACTGCCGTCTGCGGCTAACTTCCAAGTTTGTTCATCGCCCGCAGATAGAAGGCCTTCACCAGCGCCAGGTGTGGCTGCGGTAGAAGACACAGACCTGTGGGTCTCCTTCGTTAGCCGTCGCTGCCAGGGAAACGCACCACCTATGCCGGCGCCAACGCCCCCGAAACGATGCGGTGGCATGCTTTTGCGCTTTCGTTTCTTCGCAATCGGCGCGTCGCCCTCGTTCTCTCTCTCTTTCTCCTTTCCCTCTTCACCTCCTAGACATTCCTTGCCGCTACTCAAAAGCTGCGGCTGCCCTTGTTGGCTTAATGCCTGGATCCCGCATAGTTGCAAGTCATCGTTTTGGCTCTCTTCTTGCGTATTTGCCAACCGGTCGTTGCTTTGCGACTCGCCCTCTTGCCGCTCCACATGCTGAGCCTGAGCCTGAGCTTCGGTCTTGCGCACGCGCTCGCAACGGTGCTCCTCAAGAACGACGGGATCTGAAGCACAAACGCGGAGGGCAAGCAGCGTCAAAAGGATTTGTAGCTGAAGCCTAGTTCCACACAGTTCAACGAGTGAAGAGCGTCGCGTCAGTTGAAAGACGTAGTAAGCTATGGGCCAATGTGCCATGTTTCTCACTCTCGGCATTCCATGGCGGCGAGCCAATGCTTAACGATACCGACTAGAGAAACTGTTGCATCAGCGCCGCCCTCCTCCGTTTGGTATTGTTGCTCCAGATATGCTCTGACGCTGGCCGCCGGCCCGCTTTGCAGGCATGCTGTGAGCGCTTTCCATTCTGGTAGTGAAATGTCACCCTCGTCCCCGCTTGTCTCCGCAGACTTTCGAGTGACACGACCCAAACGCGAAGGTACGACCTGCCGCATTCGCCTGCTCACTCTGTCGCCGCTGCGCAGGAGCAGCTGGAGCACTTCGACCAGCAAACGTATACCATTCGGTCTCTGACTGTCTGGGGCGAGTTCCGGATCATGGCGCTCGCCTGCTGACGGCGGTGCGGTTCCATTGCCTCCTTGTTCGCACTGCTCGATGCACTGTGTGAAGAGACGCGAGGTGTAGCGCGCAAAGTCGGACAGCGACGCGTACGCTTCGCCTTGCCAGAGCGTAGCATAGTACAGCTGCTGAACGTACGCTGCTGAGGCATATTGTCTTTCGCCTGTATCCCGCTGCGGCAAGAACTTTGCACCAGGCGAAGTTGCATTTGAATTGCTCACATCTGCATGCGCGCTATTGACGTTGGACGAGGATTGAAGGCGGCGGTCGGGCCATGGCACTGGGCTTTGAAAGTTGAGGCGAAACGCGTAGCCCCCCGCTGGCCCGACACGCGACGTGTCATCGCAGAGGCATGGCATGCTTTCGCTCTAACGCGCCACACTGTCGCCGCGACTGGAGGGCCCGCTTGCAAGGCTTAAGAGATCAAGACGAAATGTCGGTCCAGAAGGCTGCCCCTATGGAGCTTTACCATGACTTTTGAACGAAGGCAGACGGGATCGAGTGGACGAAGTACAGTGAGCCTAAGCGTCGAATTAAGGTGAGGAGGCGTTGTGTCGGCCGAGACGCGTCGCGTGATGTTCATCTGGCGCATGAGGTGATGCAAACCGCCATGCACACTACCCCAGTGCCATGTCTGGTTTGTCAGATGTCATCCCCATCCCGTCCTGTTCAATGCTTGGGGCTCGTGCTCCTCATGCTCGCCATGGCCGTCATGCGCCCAATCAGAATATAAGCCCATGGTAGAAAGTCGAGCCAGCTGCTAGCTCCTCAGAACAAGAAAACAAACAGGATGGGCATGCTGAGCTTGCAAGCCAGCTGAGCAGGTCACGGCGTCTGCGCCCTTCCAGGAAGATGGTCAACGTTAACGTAAGTCGAGCCCCAGTTCATTCGGACACTGCAAGGTGTGCATGTGTGCTGCAGACTGAGAGCAGCCACTCCCCTCTGTCAACTGCTCCATTTTCCATCCAGCCGAAAGTCAAGATACCTGCCTTCAAGCCCCTCTCTATTCGCCGCTTTGTCTCACCGACCAAAGGCGAGGGGGTCAGCAGCAGTGACAACGACCCAGCGAGTTCACAAGGAGAAGATGGCAAAGCCCCCCTCGCGGCGTCCCTTGCCAGCGGAAGCCTCGTAGCGTTGCGTCGCATGTCAGAGCAAGAGAAAGAAGTGGCGGTAGAGGCTTTGCAGGCGCAGGCAGAGCAGCTCGAGGAACAGCTTGGGTGCGTTATGCGTATTGAGGCACATCTACGCGTGCGCTGCTCCTTACACAACCGCTGCACATTTTCTTTATTCATGGGTCGAGGACAGCGGTCGCGATGCGGAGCAGATCGTCAAAGAGCACATCAGACTGCTGCATGAATATAACGAGGTGAAAGACGCGACACAGGTGAATCCTCGACTGATGAGAGGTGCATACAGCAGGAAAGTGTTCCTTTCGCTGAACAGCCAATCGTTGACTCCATGTTCGGACCACCGTCAGATCTTGCTCGGAAGGGTACGTGCCCCTTTTCTCGCCCTCTGTTTCAGATGTGATCCGCATATGTCTGCCATGGCTGACATCTGCCCCTTTTGCCAGCTCGCACATATCGAAGGTGTAACAATCAAAGCAATGCATCAGCGCTACGATCTGCCCATGGACGGCTGAGCGCTTCTGCTTTGTGGCGCACAGCGATTCCAACTTCTCCCATCAGCTGCACAAGGCTCAGACTTTCCCTTGAACGCCTCGCATTTTCTCACGCGCTCCAAATTCTCGCATAGCATACATCTGCTTGCCGGTCCTTCTCGCCATTACTGTAACATACACCACGACATCCGGTTCGCACCTCTTCTTCAGCGCACACTGCTATGTTGCGCATGCATTCATGCCCCGGTGTGTCCAGTCATCCTACTGCACAATAATGTCAGCCTTGGTTGACGGGCGTAGCGCTCGCTGTGGTGGGCGCGAGATTCTGACGCCCGTACGATGGGAAGTTGCGTCTGAATGCGCGGGGGGGGGACGTAAGAGTTGGTTAGTCGGTCGATCCGTTGAAAAGACATCAGACCAGCCCCGTACGGCAGCACTAACCGACTAAGCAACAGCCCTTTCAGCCATCTGATCTCAGTTTTGACAACCGATATATCGCCCAGCTTCTCTTTACTGCCCTGCTCCTTGCTCGCGTCGTCCTCTCCAGAGCCTGCCGAAGCGCCGGCTGTTGCGACGGCATCTGAGCCGAGGCCGCTGAAGCGGAACTGGCTCTGTCCGCCGTAGGCCATCGTGCTAGCCATGTACGTTTGCGTGTTGACTGCACCGCTGAGCGATGAGAGCGCCGCGCGCAGGGCAGTGCTTGCTGTTCCCGCCCCCGCGGCAGCAGCCCCTGACGTGGACGATGACACAGCGATATATCCAGAGTATTTGCGTTCGCCGTGCTTCCTGTCGGCTCTCCGCTTTTTCTTAGTACACTTCGGGGTAAATGCACCGAATGGGTCGAACTCAAGCTCGTCGTCATCGTCTTCATCTTGCTCGTCATCATCCTCGCCTGGAACGATATCATCATCGTCCAGAAGCGCCTCCTGGTAGCTGTCTGCCACTATTGCGTTTGTCGGGGTTGTTCTAACACTGGCGCCACTTCCAGTCGACGCGACATCATTGGATCCAGTGCTAGAAGGCACAATCGGCGTTCCAATGGCAGCGGCTGATGTCTCGGCTTTGAGTGCGCTAGTGAGGCGTGCAAGTGCCTCGCGCAGCGAAATGTTCACGTCAATATCTTTGGCCACCTTATTCTTCGTTTTATTCCCTGTACCTTTTCCTTTGACTGCTTCATTCCCTGCATCCACGCCTTCCTCCTTACACTCTTCGCTCGCTTTCTCTCTATCTTCCACGAGCGCCTCAATAAGGAGACCCGAGCCGGGCACTACGGCTTTCTGCTGCGGTAGTAACCCATCCTTTTCGCACCTGCTTAGCTCCGTATGCTCATCTTCTCGCAGTGACGGCGAAAGTGAATCATGCTCGGGCTCAGGTGCCGGCTCCTTGGTATCATTCGCAAAGCTCACGCGCTTGAGTGCGCTCTTGAGCTTAATTCCGCTTGCGCCTTCGCCGCCTGCGTGTGCGCCGGCCGCATCCCAGCCTGCACCCCCAGAGCCGGACACCACACCCGGCAACTGGGCGAGTGAGCCTCGGCGGAGAGATTTGACCTTGGTACCGAGTTGCTCGAAAAGATCGCGGTGGTGCTTGAGCAGAATGGAGCGCGCGTCCTGCGAGGCGATCAGGCGAGGCATGATGTAAATCTGCAACCAAAGTAGGTTAAAATGAGCGCGTCAGCGCCTCAGAGCTAATTAAATGATGTAAGGGTATGCAACCCACTCTGTAGAGACCTACGAGGAGCGCAGTGAAGCCGCCGCCCAACATCATGAGGTAGCTCAGTTGGCGGAAGAAATTGAGCAAGACTTGATATCGTGTGAGTGGGTCCTGCGTAGCTGTCCCTTGCGTCTGCCCTGCATTTTCACCATTTCCACTGCTAACATCCCCTGCACCAGTGAGAACCTTGCCTCCTGATGCAGAGTTCTGGTCATAGTAGAGCGCCAGCGGGGATCGTGGATATGTCTTGACCGGCACTGGCGCGGCCCTGATAGGGTCATCGAAAGCTCTGGCTGCTGCTTCGAACGCGAGCTCTGGAACATCGCTGGAGGCATCAGAAGCTACTGAACCCGACCCACCTGATTCTGCTGACGACGAGGAGGATGCCAGCGTAGAAGTGGAGGTCATGTGCTCTGGCCGTGCAGCATCCTTGTATGCTCGCTCGATCGCCTGGTCATCCAGTCCCTTTGAACGCAGAAACTTGCGCTGCTCCTCTTCTGAAGCATGCCCATGGAATCGAACAGAGGCGAGAAAGCGCACCGCTTGCGCATGCAGCTCATCCGATGCACTGGGGCTAGTGCTGGGCCCCTCATTGGCGGCGATTGCGGGGGCAGGTGCCGGGGGCGAGCGCTTTGCGGCGGCAGCGTCGTGGCGAGTGTCTGCCATGCTGAGACCGTTCCGATGCGTGGTTTTTTCCTTCTTCAAGTGATACTGGGTGCTAGCGCTCAGCGCACTTGCACTGTAGTTGTCTCAACATTCAGCATGCGGTTGTTAACGCTGAATGGATATGTGCCAGTCGCAAGTAGGAAGGCAACAAACAGCATGCCAACAGCTGCAATATGCACTCGACTCGGTAACCCAAGCACCGGCTTTCAAACGCATGCTGTGGGCCGACGGATCGGCGAATGTTTCCATTCAGCGGGTTTATCATCCAGTTGCACCGAGTCTCTGACAACCCTACTTCTGAGTAATCGCTACTCGGGAGAAGTCGAAAGTCAAGGCCTCGATGACACGCACAACAGGGATTCATATCCACCACTTTCTCTCAATGTGCATGGGTTTGCTGCTGGAGATTGGATCTTTGGGAGAGGTCTGAGTCCTGCTGTGGGCCCTGGTATTCTTGAGAGACGGTGCTTGCTCGAGGCGCTTTACAATTGTGAACCGCATCTCCCGGCATACGGTCCTGCCTTTCAGCCACTGCTGAGGGGAAACGCGCAGCAACCTACCATGTCCAACTCGACCGCGAGCTCAAGCTCGCAAGCCCTCGTGGCTACCTCTAGCACTGTCTCTGCTAGAACAGCGCTTGTACGCACTTCCACAAAGGAAGGGACGTCGAGCACTCCCCTCATACCGGTAGGGCCGCGACTTGAGCCTCACCCACCAGCTCCGCCACCACAACCGCTCCCCCCGAAAGCGACGCACAGTCACCGCGGCGCTCGCATACTCTCCGAAGAGTCGTACACATCTGCGTTGTCGAGCATCATCCAGCGCGACTTCTTCCCTGATCTTGCACGCTTATGCGCCGAGAATGAATATCTCGACGCGCTTGACGATCCTGACGCAGACGAACAGCGCGTGCGCAGGGCGGTCAGGAGACTGGTCCGACTAGAGGAGGGCCTCGGGGTTATACCGCCTACGCCGAGGCGAAACACTGCTTCATCTGTGAAACGAGCAAAGGGAAATGAAAGAGCAGAGGTGGACACTCCTTTTCTCTACACTGCGACGCGAGGATGGGACGAAGACGCTCAGACGCCGCGGATCGGTCGGCGTGCTGCAGAGAGCACACCAGGTGCTACACCCTTTGCCGGCAGCGGTGCATGTGGCGAGTGGGAATCTACACCGACGCATGTACCTGAATTCAGTGGAGGGAATGGAGGCATTGCGATGCCTGGCACCTCCGCGGTGTGGACGGGCCAAGAGGCTGCGGATCTCTACAACGAATCAGACGACGAAGAACCACTCGGCGGGGAGAGCATGTCGGCTGTCCCTCCATCGGAGATACATACACATTCGCTCTCGAGCTTTGAGCGCAATTACACCTCTGTCGACAATGCTTCGTTTGGGTCCTTGCTCGCCAAGGTCAATGCGGAGCGCAGGCAAAAGTACGCTTGGGCTTTTGTCGAGGAGAACAGAGCGCGGATTAAGTGGAACGAGGCAAGGGAGGAGGAGCATCGCACCGCGCAAACGGGCGCACGGCTCGCCATTGAGGAAGGCAGAGTGCCAGAAACAAAATTGGTTACTGGCGTTCAAGGAAAGCTCGCTATCGAAGGCGCGACTGCATCACCACCACAAGGAGACGGCACAGTCATAAAGCTCGAAGCAGAGCAGCCGCTTGACGATCGCCAACATCCAGCACCGAGCGCCGTCACCTCAAGCGGCCGCTCGCACACGAAGGCAGGTTGGAGCTTTACCGCACGAAACAGCTTCATGTTCCCACCTGACGCGGACCGATCGACGCTTGTGCACCGCAGCTCTTCGCTTGAGCACGCACCTGCCGGGACAGGGACAAGGACAAGAGGAGCCTACGCATCGGGGTTTGGCGGCGATCAGTCCGAACTAGGGCGAGTGAAGCCCAGTATCAACCTCGTCAACCTTCGCTTGCCTCAAGCGACGAGCGGCTGCTTCGGGGACGAAATTGCGTCATCCAGCGCTGGGGGCCAGACGCCACGCTTGTCCGTACTGAATGCAGCCATCGAAGGGCAGCGGCAGTCAAGTAGCAGCAGCAGCTTTTCCGCCTCCAGCGCTCTCGGTGGCGGTGGCAGCGGCAGCGCAGACGACGGAGGGCACGCAGCAGCATGTCGGCTGACGGTCAACGGGCATAGATTCGTCAGCCCGCTACCCAGTCCGCGACCGGGAGATTTTGGCGCCGAGCGCATGCGGCAGCTCATGACGTGGGGCACTATTGTGCGCACGCCAGTAGTCCTGCGCGAGGGACGCAGTGATGCGGGTGTAGGTGCGGGTGAAGCGGGACGGAGCCACACGCCGCGCGACGGCGGCGTGGGAGGGTTCGCCATGCCGCCGACGCCGCGACGCGAGGAGCTCGCGCGCCAGCTCGCTGCTGTGCGTGGTGCGGCTTCTTCGCCATTAACATTAGCATCAGCCGCCTCTGCCGCCGGGAAGCGCGCCGAGCGTACCTCAGGACACGGCAAGGCATCAGCAACAGCCGCAGGCCTCAGCCCCGCGGCGCAGCGGCTGTTGGAGCGTACAGCGGCGGCAGGCGTGACACCGCGTCGCACGTCGCAGCCGATGGGCTTGCGGAGCGACCTGGGCACGCGCTTGATCGGCAGGAAGAGGGTCGGCCACGGGCAAGGGCAAAGGCAAAGGCACAGTGTGACAGGGAGCTCCCGGCCGGACGAGGGTGAGGATGAGGACGACCAGCTCGCGAGGCTGAAACGCCGTCGTTGGACGCCAACGCCTAGCCCTAGTCCGGCACCGTCGCGTGGTCCTGCGCAGGTCTGACGCTGTGGCACCGGTGTTTGGAGTCCCATCCGCTTTTCCCTTGTAGCATTTGAACACGACAGCAGCATCCTCCGAGAGTAGAAGTCATTTTTCTTTGATGCTCTGCGCATCTCGCACAAGCGCATCGCTGGTCACGCGGTCACGGGTGGGCTCTTTTTGTGGCACGGCTGTCTCCACATATACCCCTCGGATCCGAATACCCATGCAAGAATGGTTTTCGCCATTGGGGTCTCGAGCGACTTGCTGTCTGGAAGCGAAGACCGTACGAAAGTTGGCATTTGAGGCACATCTATTAGGGTTACAGCAATATGTGGAGAAGCCCGGGGGGAGCCAATGAGTGCAAAAATGGTCGGACACAATGGCGCAATGCTGAATGACGTCATCGTAATCTGCCAGTGGGGCTGCACGCATTCGTGAACGTCCTTGCAGACTCAGTAGCAGTCAGCAGGACCTCAACAGGACCTTGTGTTCAATTTCACGCGACGGCCGACTTGAGATCGCATGGCCCATTGCTTCTTTTGGGGATTGGGTGGAAGTTGGGTTGGCTGCTGGCTGGTGAGTGGCCTGTGCAGCGAGCGAAACGGATGAGACCCGAGCAAGCCAGCAGCAAAGGCAAGTGGTGGACCAGCCGAGTGCGGTACCGAGGTGGTGCGAAGAAACAGACTCTGTGGAGCCGGATTCTACGATAGCTGTGACCGGGCGAGCTTGGATCAGGCAAGGGAGAAGGGAAACGTCAGCGACTGGCGATAGATGGAGGGCGAAGGGGTGTGAGCGCAACGGTGAAGGGGACGAGGCCTGCTGGGAAAGTATCACGCGGTCCGTCTACGAGCTGGTTTTGCGCTTCCTCGTGTCATGGGCTTGCTGACCCTGGTTAGCGCCACTGTTGAAGCATGTACAGGACACTCGGCCCGCCCGACATAAAGCGGCTGTGAACGGCCGTGCGGAACGAGAGTTCGCAACGCCGAGGCTAAATCGTGGACCGTGGCGGGAGTGGCCGGGAGCAGAGCGGTTTGGGGTGCGGGGAGCGCGCTGCAGCAGGCGAAGGCGACCTGGTCGATGTCTGACAAGTAGCAATCATCTCGGCCCAGTAAGTCTGGGATATCGCCGGGAGTGACGGTGGTATACCGGTTGCCACTCGCCACTTCCTGGTGGAGGCGGGCAACCGCGCTGGCATGGTAATCGGCTACTTCGGGTAGGGTGAGGATCTGGTCAACCGAATCGGAGGAGCGTAAAATCTTCCAGACCTTTCGAGCCTGTCAGCTTCGGGCCGAGGACGTAGAACAAGAGATGATCGTAGACCCGCACGATGATACGATGGGCGATGACCACTTCCTTGAGCCATTTGCGCAGGTAAAAGGGGTCATGGTCGTACTCCTGGATCATCTTGTCAGCTAGAGCCATGATGCCACTGTTCGAGCACGATGTTGCCAGGGTGTACGGTCTCCCCTCGGATCACTCGTCGCCGGAGCCTGTGCTGTGGTCACGCTGTGGAGAAGGTTCAGTAGCAGAGCGGGGTCGGCTCTTTGGAGGCACGTTGATGAAAGTCTTCCGTTGATGGACGGTTCACGAATAATAGAGAGACTTTAATACATTTTGTTGCGTCCATCGGCGTTCACAGTAGTCCAATCCCAAGCTGTCCAGGGCACTCTACAAATGCAGGGATAATGGCTAGATTCATAAAAGCATGAGTTGCGTACAGGTGCAAATAGCGTAGTCGAACATGAGCGATGAGAGGGGAGAGAGACTGAGGCGCGCAGCGTCGCCGACCTGCCACTTCATTTCGAGCGGCAGCAGCAGCTGTCGCGCTCTCCCTGTTTGGCGAAGGTCATGGTGGCAAGCTGGCGGTCAACGGCGCCGTGACAAGAACCTCCTCCGCGCGGAAGGCCCCTTCTTCATTGTCAAGCAGATGTGTAACACTGGGTACACGCTCTGGTCGATGGGCATGGAGGGAGCTCTTGATTCGGATTACACGGACTTTCCACTGGCTACAGCCTTTTACCTAGCAAAGGTCACGTTTAGCGGACAAAAAAGGGGATTGTGACGCACGGAGAGTCACGTGACCATCTAAGGGCCTCGCTCTCTTATCACTCGGGGTGGACTATGTAATATGCACACGCGTATGCTGCTCAGACGTGTATGCATCTAGCCATTATCCCTGCCGTTGTAGGGTGCCACTGCACCTCTGCGCATTGGTTTGCCGTCAGTGCCGACGGCCGAAACAGGAGGATGAGAGGAAGCTGTGTGCTGCGGACGATGAGATCTGAAGGGATCTATCTGTGGATTGGGATGGCAGCGCCGTGGCTCGAGCGTGAAAGTTTCAAGATTAGAGGGTGGATAGATAATACGGAGGATATATAGAGCAGCAGCAACGAATCTATTCTTTCCCTTCGGCTACTCCCTGCATCTATCATACTCGTCAGCACCCCACAACACACAGTCTGACAGATTCGTTTACTCACAGACAAATATGTCCAACACAGCACAAAACGTTGCCGACGCGGCCAAGGACAACGCCAACAAGGCCTCGGACCTCCCCTCACAGGTGCACAAGGATGCCAACTCGCTCGTCGAGCAGGCCACCCACCTTGTTGGCGACACGCTCACTTACGCCAAGGACACCGTCAGCTCTGCCCTCGGACACGGCAAGAGCCGCGCAAAGGACGCACAGAAACAGGCGGGCCATGCCGCTGACGAGGCCAGCGACATTGCCAACAAGGCCAGCAAGGAGGTGAGCGACTGTCTATTGGGGTTCCTGATGCTGGTCGGTCGACCGGCCTCTTCTGACTGTCACACTGGGATTCTCGCCTTTCCTTTTCTGCATCTCCAGGGCCAGCAATCCGCCGAGCAGGCGCAAAAGACGCTATCTGACCTGGTCAACCAGTCGCGGCAGCTCGCCGACGACGCGCTCAGCAAGGTGAACGAGTACGTCAAGCCGCAGCAGACAGTGGAGAATGCGCAGCAGCAGGCGTCCGGTATCGTGAACCAGGCGCGCGGGCTCGCTGCCAGCGCAATCGAGACCGCACAGTCGTACATTCAAATCGGCGAGCAGAAGGTCTCGCAGCTCGCCGACTCGGCCAAGGACGCCGCGGGCAGCGCGCAGCGGCAGGCCAGCAGTAGCGTAGAGCAGGCGCAGAAGCAGGCCACCAGCGCCGCGCAGAAGACGCAGGACGCCGCTAGCGACCTCGCCGGCCAGGCGCAGCAGGCTGGCGAGGATGTGCAAAAGAAGCTCAAGGCGTGAAGACGCTACGGATCGCATGCTCGCCCATACTCCCCTTGTAAGAAGATGCACGTCGTAACATCCACTCTGTAACTACCTTGCTTGGCTTCTATGCTGCAAAAACGATACCTCCACGCAATTACAACGCAAAAGGTGACATCTCGTTTGGTTCTGGTCGCGTGCTGATGCTCTGCCGAGTTGCGTGTGAGCTATGCTACATCGCCCTTCTTCGCTCCTTCGCTGCCCGGTGGTTGTTGAGCTTTGCGGTCCGCTTCTTGACTCTAGATCTGGCTCTCGCTTTGGCGGCTCGCTCGCAGTGCGAGGCCGGCCCGTGCGATGCGCCCGTCGATCAAGTCGAACAAGAAGCGCACGATGTCGCGACGTTTCGCACGCCCCGCTTGCGGCTGTTGCTGCTGCCTGCGGGAGCGTTGTCCTCTTCCGGCGGCTGGGGCTGCTGTCCACGGCGTGTGCTTGTGCCACGCCACGAGACGACGTTGGATGATAAGCTGGTTCGAGAGGTGCAGTTGGACTGCCCTGTCTAGTGCTTGCCTGAGCGTTTTCACGCTCGCATCTCCGCCGTCATCCGCTGCTGGGTTAGAGCTCGGGTTCGACATGCCGAGCAAGCGCTTGAGACGCCTGAGATGCATGCCTGACCGCTTGCTAAGGCGCGCCAATGCCGGGTCGGGTCGCAGACCCGCAGCGAGCGCGTCCGCGAGGAACCCTTGCGCGCGCAGGTGGTCGCGGTCGGCAACAAGGTCGGTGAAGTGTGTCGTGGCAACGTGCACGTTGGTCAGTTGCTCGCGCCGCGTCGACGACGCTGCAGAGACCGGACGCGACATGGTTGGTGAAGACGATGGGCCTTCCGAGCGAGGAGGATCGACGGGCTCAGAGAGAAACGAGACGACGGGCGACTGTGCGATCGACGGCATCTGTATCACGTCCGTGTCCTTCAAAAAAGCGCGATCGCCCCGCCTCTGCCGTTCTCTCTGCTTGCGTGCGGCGTTGGCCGCCAGGATGTTCTCGACGATCACTAGCGCCTCTCGCTCAGGCTTGGCATCGCGCAGCTCCTGCAACTCCCTCCGCAGACCCGTCTCGTCATCCAGACGCGCATAGCTCGCAATGAGCGCCGCGTGGATGCGCACATCCGGACGTAGGCCGAGCGTTTGTTTCGCTTCCGCTTTGACGCGCTGCGCATCTTCCATGCGCCCATCCAGCGCGAGAGCCTCGATGAACGGCGCAATGTGGGAGAGTGTGGGTGTGAGCCCGCGTGACATCATGTGTTGCAGCATCCGCTCCGCCGTGTCGTAGTCCCGGTCGACGAGCGTCAAGCGCCTGATGCGCGTCGTATACATGGCCGACGTGTACGCGATCGGCGAGTCGGTACTGGCTGCGGCCCTGGTGGTTGTTCGGGCGGACAGTTTGGGCTTGATCAGTCGAGAAGACGGCTCAGCGGAAAGTGAAGAGCAGAGCCTCGTCGAAGCGTCTGCGATTGGCACCGCTGCCGTTTCCTGCATCCATTGCAGACCTTCTTTGATGTCCAGATCGTGATACTGCTCTTCCTCATCCAGGATCACTTCGCTTTCCTCAGACGCTTCCAACGGCTCTTCCCCTAGATCTGAACACTGCTCCTGCTCCTGGACTTCTTCATTTTCGTACTGTTGCCCTGTCTCATCGTCGTGCACCGCCCGCCGCGTCGCCTGCATTGCCTCGCCGCGGCCTGAGCGCGCACTTTTCCACCTTTCGAGTGCATCGCGGTGGTCGGTGCGATACTTGCAGAGAACGCGCAGGATGCGCATGCGTTGCCGACTCTGCGCGCGGCTGAGACTCTTAGAGTCAGTCCCGTCTGCCGCCGGTTTGGAAAAAGCGAGCATGCGTCTGATCGCCTTGAGCGTGCGGGCATCGCCGTATCCGGCCGGGTCGGCTGGATCGAAAGAGAGCCCGAGAAGCACAGGCAGCACGATACCGCTGGGTAGGTCCATACCGGACGCATAAAGCTTCGTCAGGATGTCTCGTAGAGCATTTATGTCGCCTCTTCGCACGCTGTTGGCGATGTCTTCTCGCGCTTGTGCAATTGCAGCTGTAGAGATGGAATACGGTGCAAGCATACGCCCGATCAGCGCTCCCCACTTGTGCCTCCTGGGTTCATGCAGGCGAGCTTCCTCTTCGTCTTCCTCGACAAGCGCCTGCGACCGCGTGGGGGGTAGCATCGCTAAGTCTTGCTCCATTGCACGGAACCACGCCGCATGCACACCACCTGCCACGGTATCTTGCAGCGCGTAGTTAACAAGCACGCGCGCATCTTCGAGGTGCCTCTTCAACATGGCAAATTGCACCACGCTGCGTAATTCCACAAGCTTAGGCCGCATCTGGTGCTTTTCGAAGCTGGCGAGAACATGCTGTAGTCTGCCATTTCGTGCTTCCTCTGGTGTTTGGACCATGATGTCGACGATTAGTGCGAGGCATACCGCTGCGGAGTTCAAGCGGGGATCCCAGTCAGAAGGCTTTCGCGCGAGCTCGTGAAGCAGAGAGTCGACCGTCTCTGCTGCCTCCGCTGCACCTAATGGCAACAGCGCGCTTCTGCTGTTGTCGATGGACGGTGACCCCCGTGCGACTGATTTCGCAAGCTGGTACAAGGCAGAAGAGTTTCGCCCGGCAGACCGGGACTCTTTCACTCTCGCAAGAAGGCGATTGAGGATGGGGTCCTCGAAATGTTTGGTATTTCTGTCTCGGGTCTGTGAAGGAATGTCTGTAGGCTCTTCCGGGTTGCCCTTGCCTTTGCAATTGTACCAGTGCTGCCCTTGGCTGTCTAGTGTCGTTTTGGACCTCCATGCTGCTGATGCTGCATTTCCGTCGTCTTTCAGGTCATGGACTCGGGCCTCTTCCGGCTCTCTTACACGAGCGACAGCCATATGCGACATTGGCGCCGATGAGTAGATGTAATATGTATATGCCCGATGTGGGAGACGGTCGAGCGTCACCCTGGAGGAAGAGGCGAAGGTGAATGGAGACTGTTCGGTGCAGAATTTCGGAGAGAGTCAGCCCAGCCCGACCTTGCAAGTCAAGTCGAAAGACGTACCAAGACATGTCCCTTTCGCACAGAAGACTTCCTTCCTTTGTTTCTCGGTGCCATATTACTGGAGAAGGCCGCCGGACAGAGGAAGGGGAGCACTTCCTGCTCGACAGCTGCTCGACTGTGACTTGGCCGGCCTAGGAGGCCACGCACCGCGCGTGCAGCGGTGGCAGGCACCGACATTGCCACGAGCCCTGGCGCCTCCTTGTCTGTGCAGTGCATAGGACATCACCTATGCAATTTTTGTTCGTGATGCGGGTAGCGTTGTTGGAATTTGGACCTTGCGCCCTCCCTTCACTTGTTCACAGAGCGGATCCGTCTAGGCTTTGCGTGGTTTCGGTCAGCGCCGCCTCCGACTTGGCCGTTTTCCAAGCGGAAGATAACACAACGCCTTTACAGCAGGAGGTGCAGCCGGAGTGCCGTACTGCTACAAGCGGGGACAAGCACGAACGAGTTCAAGGATATGCTTTGATGAGAAGCCCTACATGGAGAGATCTTTTGAGACAGGCGACGCGAGAAGTAAGTCAAGCACAAGTCACTCAGCCGGCCCAAGTCTCCAGTTCCGTGTTCCGAGGGTGATTTCTTTCCTTTTTTTCCACGATCAAACATTATGCGAAAGAAAGAAGTGCGGCCCCGCTGAACAATCGTCAGCTCCGCCCCGACTCCGCAGCCAACTATAATTAATACTCGAAACTCGGCCGATCCATGGAGACTGCACTGAACACCGAATGGAACAGGTCATACAACATGGAGAGTTGCCCATCTGACAATGATTTGTACGCCGTGCCCTGCGCTCGTATCGGTGCCTGTCTCGCAGGCACTAGCCAAGGTCGCTGAGGTTTCTCAAAAATAGATAGACACTCGCCGTCCGACAAAGGACGCCGCCCAGACAGCTCGGCGATAACCATCATGCCTGGTTCAGGTCCAGCAGAGGTGTCCTTTCGCGCACTGCCACCGCCAGCCCCAACGGAGGAATCTTCGGCACCACAGTCCCTGGAACACGACGACAGCTTCGTGTCCACGTCCTCGCCTGCAGGAACAAATGGCCGAGGCGGGGAGGATGACACTGCAGGAGAGATAGCACGGGCGTCGTCCTCCGATGCAAACGGAGGAAAACGCAAGAGGACCATGCCAAGCTGCACTAACTGCTACAATAGGAAAATCAAGTGTTTAAAGGAGCAGCCTGTGTGCTCGGGCTGTATCAAAAGAAAGACTTCCAATACTTGCTACTACGTTGACCGGCGCGAGGCGGGTGCCAGGTACGTTCCTTGCCTTTGTTGTGTTTCATGACGAGCTTTTCCTGCGGTTCGGCTTACCTTTTCTATCCGCGGCCATCGTACTGCATCAATCTGCAGTGAATTGCCTCCCCCGCGCAAAGCGTCCAGTCATGGTCATCGTCGAGTGGGTCCCAACCACCATGCGGCGAGTGCATCGCAATCGTTTCACGGCCATGATTCACCGGATGTTTCTGGCATCGCACCGTCAGGCGCATCAATAGACCTACGGGACATGAGCAGCGACCAGATGGAAAAAATTGTCAATCGAATCGCTACAATGGTCGCTGACAAGTTGCAGAGCGGCGGTGGCGGGTCCTCCTCAGCTTCCCCTTCCTCTTCCTTCAACCAAGGCAAACTCGTGCAAGTCAGTGTACCGCGCCAATTTGGTACAGCATCTGTGGCTCCGTCTAATGATGGGCTCCTGGCGGCTAGCCAGGCTCATGCTAGCCAGCTCTCTGCATATTCCTCCGGCGGTAGCTGGTATGGGCCGGTTGACGACACGTCTGTCATGGATGTTTTGTTACAGTTACCGAGCGACTCGGTTATCGATTGGGCCGTGCGCTTCTATCTGGTGAGTTGTGCCCATCCAATATTCCACCATAAATTGTTCGCCAATACCTATGGCTTGACTTCTTTACGATTACCGCCCTTCATTTTCTTGACTCTTTTTCAGGCCGAGCTAGAACCTTTCTACACCTGCTGCAATGGCTGGATCCTTCGCAATCAAATGTCGAAGCTTCAAGCGGCGCGCAAGCAACTGTTATCCAACAGCTGCCCAACACAAGCTAGCTCTTTCGAAGGTCCAACACGTGCAGGCGACTTTCCAAGCCCCATCCTACAATCACAATTATTGAAGACAGTTTACGGCTCCGTCAGGCGCTCGTTCGATGTTGACAGCATCCATCTAAGAACAGCGGAAGCAAAGAACCCCTCGGCCGCCCCACAGCTCGACCTCAGTGTGCTGGCGCTTCTCTTTGCGTTGCTCGGGCAGGTTGTGTACGCGCTTGACGAACGGGAAGTGGTGGAGCACGGCTTCTGCAGCGATCCGTCTGAACGGATCGAGCTGTCCAAGCGCTATCTAGAGCTCTCCGAGGGGATCTTGGTGCGTTCACGCTGGATGGATGCGCCAAAGATCACATCGCTTCAGACAATTTTGCTACTCAGTACACTCTTCTACATGCAATTCCGCATCACTGCTGCACTCCTCATGACGGGCGCGGCGATCCGATGCGCAGCGGCGATGGGCCTGCACCGGCTCGGCAGCGCTGTTGAGGATTCAATGCGGTGGCAGACGCCTCTGCACGGCAAGGACGAAGTCAACGCGAGGGAGTTGCAGATCGCCGAGGAGGCTGAGCAGACGAAAGGGTTACCAGCGTGGAGCAAGCCAGATTGGCACATGTCAAAAGTCCAGGAATTCGCTTCGGGTGATCATGCCAGGCGCGAGCTGGGGAGGAAGGTGTGGTTCGGTCTCATCACGCCTGAATGGGCTATCGCGCCACGTTTCGATCAGTTCTACATTGCGCAGCCGAAACTGTTCACGACAAAGCTGCCTGCCAATTTGACAGACGAGATGCTGCAAGACTTGCAGCCGTTCAGTGTCCTGCCGCCCATCGATGCTGCGTTACCGACAGATAGGGCGTACATCGAGACGCATTTGCTTCTCGCGGATGTCTGCCGACGCTTTACGGATCGCGTCAGCCAGGAAGGCATGTCGCATGAGATTGCCATGCACGCCGACGCAGAGGTGCGATCTATACTCAACACGCTGCCGTGGTTCTACTTGTTCGACCTCCCCGGCGAGAGCGGAGAAAGGCTCAAAGCAGTTATGACGCAGCGACCCGTGACATCTGTCCAACGCGTGCTGGCGCACGAACAGATATGGCACCTGCTTCTGCGCCTCAATCGGTCGTTCATGGGACGGGGCTTTAGTGATCCGATGTACGCTCATTCGACGCGGACATGCATCGAGGCGGCGCAGTTTATCATAGCAGTCTATGATGAACTGCAGCGCGCCAAGAGCCGTGCTCTCAATCTATGGTATGTCTCCATCCATCGTGAGTTCCCCGAAGCGGTTTGCATGCCTTGCTGGTTGCATCTCGAGCGCGCCTTTCTGGCTGACCGATTCATTTTCTTGCAGTCTTCCACGCTGCCATCGTACTATCGATCGACCTAGTACATTCAGCCGCGGGACCCATAACGCCAGAGATAGCGGAAAAGCAGCGGGCAGTCAAGAGCGCGATCGAGTCACTCAAATCCACCCGCATGGCGCAGCCCAAGCCTGGCTTTGAGAAACCGCCACTGGCGGACTTGATCGAGTTCAGCAAGAAGGAACATCAGCTGCGCGCGTCATGGGAGGATCGACAGCGCCAGCCGGTGCAACAGCAGCAAAAGGCTCAGAGGCAGCACCCTGCTGCTGTTGTTACCCCTGATAGCAACACGTCGAGCATAGGGAGCGACAGCATTCACAACGGCTCGACGTCAAGCATTGCCCATCCTTGGGTCAGCGACGGCGGTACAGCTGGAAAAGCCCCAGCGCCTGCTCATGCTTCAACATCAACTACAGCGATACTGCAAGACGACTTTGAAAAGATCTTACGCGGCTTCCTCAACATGCCTTCGCCCCCCTCAACTGGCGCCGCGATTGACGACTCAGGGCGTCCCAGTAATAGTCAACAGTATCAACAGCAGAATCAGCATCAAGTGCTTCAGCAGCAGGCGTACCAGCAGCAGATGTTTGAGCCGCCATCCGAGGTGCACATGTTCTTGCAAGAGCTGTTCACGCCTGCTGTTCAGATGTAACATTGCGAGCGTGGGCTGTGAGAGCAGAGGAATGGGGGAGGCACTGTAGGGCAGAGGGAAAATGGCTAGAGGCACACACATCTCAGCACCATACTCC